TATATATATATTGTATATATATATATATATATATATATATATATATATATATATTTATAATACTATAATATTTATAATATATTTATAATATATTTTCATTGATCTCGTATGAAAAAAAAAAAGGAAATGGACAATAAAACAATTCATTTATATGCAATATATGAATGTAATAGTTTTATTATTTCTTATATTTAGTAGATCATTACATACAGTCACTAGCATCTCAATCACAATTTCTCATTATCACTAATGTGTGTAAATTCGTATTTACATCGGTAAATTTGTCGCTTCGATTAATTATATATCATATTCATTCGGCGCTATGATTATTTTTTTTTTTTTCACAATATTTACATCCCTTAAACTTATAATACACAGTCCTTTAATAATCTTTGATTTGAATTCTTAAAGTAGAGCTTTTCGTTTTAGCAAACTTAACATTGATCGGTTAAATCAATCATCGGTTAACCAACTGGAAAAAATTAATTTGCTTTAATATCAGTCAAAACTTCAATCTAATGTTAAGTTTGTAAATCGAAATATTAAGTATAAAGAACATGGAAAATTATTATGAAATGAAAGATGAAAATAATTGGGAATTGTAACAAAATAAAAATTCGATATTATAATTGAATGTTGAAATTAATTTAAAATTTGATATAAACCGCTCAATCAGTAATTAATTAATATTATAATTATCTAAATAATCTAAATAAAAGATCGTTTATTTATGATTCGTTTCTTGTTCAAATATCCTCTTATATTCAAATTTTTTGAATTTTTTTTGAAATTAATATAAATATTCATTCCAAAAAATAAAGATAATTGAAATTCAAAATTTCCCAATTCGTATCCTTGTCCAAGTATTTCATTTCATTTCATTAGTTTTGTTTCTACTATTGTTTCCTAAATGTTTCATGTATATTCTGACAGTTTCACTATACATAGTATACTATCAGTGCAATGACGTAAGTACCACGTGCTTTGTATATAAAGTACTTCTGCCTATCACATCAAGTATACAATTAATAAATATCAAGTACCATTAATCGTTTACTGGACTGATAATATGTGTAAAAATAAAAAACGCGTATAAACCACATTGAAAAACACACATGTGCACGCGTGTGTAACGCAACAGTAGTAAGTGGAACGATAGCGATTGAGATAGTATGATACAACGTATTAAAAAAAATACGATTCTCATAAAAAATATTCATTCCTTCAAACAGCTACTATTTTGCTAGGATCGACCTTTACCCGGATGAACATGGTGTTATCTTTGACAAAATGTCGTTTCTTTACCATTTCATGAGAAACAAATCGAGGAAAACCAAAACCAAGGGAATCGGGTTCACGACTGGGCCTCTGAAAGTTCTTCCATGTTGGATCTGGTATAAAACTTTCTACAATATTGCACGCTTTTTCTGCGACTACAGTTTGATCGAATATAGTAAAAGACACGCTATGGGAGAATGGCCATCGCAACAGAGCGTCATACTCTCCGGGAAGAATCTTTATGTATATTGAAATATGACTTCCTTCGCCGGTTCCGTTTCCGTTTAAGAAAACTGACGCCTAAAATATTGAAAACATTTCTACAATTAATACAGATAATATATATAATTATTTTTAATTCAATAATATTGCTAAACTTTAAACTAAAAGAAAATGATTTAGAATGTTAAATTTTTGTCTACCTGTAGCTTGTAACCATATTGACTAGTGTAAAAGGGAGGGCTGACGAGTTCCATTCCTTCCTTAGCCTTCGCCTCGGACATTTTAGCACTGTAATCCGTGATTTTCCATATAAGCGTGCCCGTATAGTTTAACGATAGTTTACTAATAGCAGATTTCAAACTGGTTATTTGGTGCTGCTGTTTGGTTACTACACTGCACATCAAACTTAAATGCATCTTTGCTGATTCTTCCAGATGTTTGTCCAACGAGAATCTGTTTCCCTGTAACAATGAGTAATGGTATTTTACACTAATCTAAAACAAAAAAAAAAAACGGAAATATAAAAATGTTTTTAAATAATAAATTTAAATTATTCAACAACAAAAATATATACCTTAAAACGGCAACCAGCATCTTTGAAAGTACACGATAAGAGATGTGTAGTGCAATGATCTTTCAAATGGACTTCGAGATCTTCTCTTGGTAAGACAGCAGTTTCGCAACGATGCGGACAAGCGACTGGAAAACGACCACACTTAGCGTGATGAGCACCAAGAGTGTCAAAAACGAACTCTTTGTTACAATAACGACACGCCACCAATCTTTTCGCACATTCGCCCAACTTATGCTGACTGAGGTGCCTTCGTTGTACCTTCATACCGCATTTATTCTCGCAATAGAGCGGCTCGTAGCCACACGTCCCTGTGTGCTTCTGTACATAAAAGAAGAAGAAATAGAAATATCAGTTATATCGTCAATCTTATTAAATTTCATCAATACTATACCAAGTTATCGTATAAAATAATAAAAATAAAAAAAAAAACATCTCCAAATTAAAATCAAATTAGATTTCCAATTATAACCTATAAAAACATTCGATCGAAAAGCAATAGTATCTATGCATATTCTACTGAAATGAAAGAAAAAAAGGAAAAAGAATTTGAAAAATGTTATTTGAACTCATATGCTTTCGCTTCCAACCATCCGTTCCCACTACAATACAGTTAATACTGCCTCGATCGCGATTCTTTTAATTAATGCAGTGACGGTTACCTCGAGCGTGTGACCGGTGAATTCTTTGGCACAGAAGTCGCAGCGTGCTCGCCGCTGGGCACAAGTGTATTTCAAATGATCCTCCATCAGTACACGCGGAATCATCGCGCCACATTTATTGCTGCAGGGGACTGCGTCGTGCTTGCAGGTATTCAGGTGAGCCTAAACAGGATATAATGCGATTTTTACATTAGGCACAACTTGAACGGTGCATTCCTTTTACTTCGATCGGTCCTTCGGATCCTTCTATCCGCAACGCTCGTGTTGCGACAATCAGAAGGAAACTTGGGTGAACGAACCGTATACCGAAGATTGAAGGAATAACAATGATATTTATAAAATTTATAAAAGCATCGGGTTGAAAGATAAAACAGTGAATATACAAGAAGTTTTATCACTATTTATATCTTAATTTTTTAACATTATCGAAACATTACTTTTTCAAAATGTTGGTCAAAACTAATTTTTGAAATAAAATGTTTCGATTTATTAATATATATAAAAATGTGAAAAGGATGGAAGAGGAGGATTTAATCGTTCAAAAATCAATTTTTAAGTTAAATATGATATTTTACAATAGCTTCTTACAGGATTTTTTTTAACAATGGAATTTTCTCATTATTGTTTATATCAAGAAGCCATTTATAGCGACTATTTTCCACTTATAGAATATTTTTAACTCGCAATTTATCGAGAGGTCATGCAGAGTTTGATAATGACAATAGAAGAAAAGATGATAATTGTTCTTATAAATGACCGGAAGGCCGACACGAGTTATCCTTAAAACGCGTGGGAGTCGTAACAGTGCCGAGACCAGTTCAACGACCTATCAATGCAAGGTCGCTCAAAGATCAAAAATGCATAATTAAACAATCTTGGAACCATATTTGTATAGTTGGGAAAATTTTAATACTTTTTACAAAGAACAATAGTCTTAATTCTCACATCAAATATATCACCATAAATTTCATATTTTAATTATTATAATACTGTATATATTAAAATTGAAAATGCATATTTGTATCTGACACAAAATATATTTCGATAACAATTATTTTTAAAAGTAAGAAATTGATTCTGATCAATTTTTCTTCTTTTAAACTTCCAAAAAAGTTTGAGATTAAAAAATACAAAATTACCTTTAATTTCCGAAGTTCATCCGACCACTTGCATCCGTCCTTATGATGTATACAGTACACAATGGATCCCATTATTGCCTTTTCTGCTTCCAGATCCTGGAAATTCTGCAACACACAGAGAACAACGATCTTATCCATTGTTTCCTCCAATTTCCAATGCAAATAGCTATCTTTTCGCTCAAAAAATTACAGTCGTTTCAAATTGTTTCGACTCGACGAAGCGAAAGTAGGTCAATTAACGAAACTTTGCAAGACCATGACAATTTCGTGCTCAATTTCCTCCAACAGGGGAACGTTGGAATAATCATCTTCAATCTTTTCGAATTTGAACGATTAGATCGTCGAACTGTTTTGGTGTCCATCCAACGCAACGGTTGAGTTAAACTGAACCTCTTGGGAACGTGGGTAGCGATTAATTGGGTAACAGGTAGTTGTTACCAGGCACTCCTGTCTACGAGTGTGCACCTCTCATGCCCAATAAACAAGTCGTTTGACATTCCATCCACTGATGAAATATGGTAATCAATTTTCAACGACGCGACTCTAAACCGGCGATTTCTGATCCTACATTTCATTTTGCTAGGAATTCTTCAGATATGCGGTTTCGTACGAGGTCTCTTCCTGGCTGTTTTACAATCGAGAGATAATAATGATAAATAAAGATCGAGATAATGGATCTTTTTTGTCGTAAGTCTTTAAAAGTTTTTTTGAGAAACCTGGTTGGAGACTCATTATTTGAGATATTAAATATCCTATATTTATTTTAGTAAGTATAAAGAGTAGAATATTATCTTAAAATTTTATAATTATCCTACAATATCATATCATGTCATATCATTTAAGATTTATAGAATTAAATTGTATCTATCGTCGAATCAAATGATTCTTGAGCTTTTCAATAGTAATAATGAATAATTACTTTTTCCTCATATTCTGTTTACAACTTTTACTTTTATTCTTTTATACTCTAAGTTTTATTCAATAATAAAATTTATTAGGCTTTTGAAATAATATAATCTAAAATATAAGCAAAATAGTGTCGATAATAGTTAATAAATAATTCTCTTTTCCTCTTACAATATTCAATTGATGAATAAAACTCAAAAATTGTTTCATCATAACTCGAAGGCTACGATATACGTAATACATTTCAAACAAAGAATTAGCACTACAATCTCTATTTGTGTAAAAATCTATTTGCTCTTGATAACGTTAGTTAAAATTGTAAAGTTAGAAATCTTCGAGTATAAGAAAAATTTTTTAAAGAATGTGACAGCGATAAAACTGATATTGAGTATTTAACAAACACCAGTACAATATTGCACTTAGGAACAAAAATTCTGTCATTATAAGTATTCGATACTCGTAAATCAAATAATATCCAGTCGTCGATTGATAAAGTTTATTAGGTCTAGTTCGTGTAGACAACAACTTTCTCCGGAAACACGTGTTACATACATGAAAACACATTAAGAATTTGAAATGACTATGGAACAATGTAATCAGTTACTTATTATCTTTAATTATTAAGTGACTGCTGGTAATTTCGCGTCAGTGATTCTTATGATGCTGTTTAAATGATAGACTGTATCGATAAACACAAGCTTTCATTGTTTGTATGCTAAATAAGAATCCCATTAGTGCCATAATGAACGATTCCATCAAAGACATAAATCAGTTTATGTCTTTAAATTTTCTTTTGAATTTAGTTCGGATTTAATTAATAAGTAACAATTCAAATGCTACGTGTTTTTCTTACGTCGACAAATATAATTTTCTATTTTAAGATTATTATTTATTTTCTAGTTGTCAATATCGTATGATTGTGATGTCATCATAATATTGCCAAGATATTGCTAAAAACTTCTGTTAACTTAGATTTTTACAAATCTTATTTATTTAGATTTAAAGAGATAAAAATTTGTTCCCAAAGCAATAACTATTCAATTTAAGAATAAAATTAGAATAATATTGAATAAGTAATTGAATAATAATATTAAAAATTCATATGGAGATTGAAGATAATATTACATTTTTATATAAATGATAAGTATATAAAATCTAAAGAGAAGAAAAGAAAGTAAGAATATTTTTCCTTTCTAAATTATATTTATACAAGATATGATAAAATGATATTGAATTTTAATGTTACATTTTTTTCAGTACTGTAACGAGTTTAAATTAATTCCTAACTAAATCAAAATTTAAAGTAGATTAAAGTAGACTGTAAGAACACTTTAAAAAGGCTCATGCGAAATATGTTCGAAGTGGACAAGCGATAAAATGGCTGGAAATACATGGGAAAACAAACGATGGACGGTGTATAACAACTGTCTAATAAATCTAAATCCGTCCGTGGAAGACTTTCCCCATTGCAAAGGAGATGTGGGTACAGCATATGGGAGGCGGCATACAAATCTTTTTAGAATTTTTATGCCATGTTTCTGATTCCAGGAAGAACCATCGACCATGGCAGTCGACGAAGAAGTCGTGACGGTTTTCGGAAATAGCGAGGTTCAATAATAACCCTGATGCAGGAGGTGAACCCGTACCGAGAACCATGCAGGAGGCAAGAGAGCTGTTATAAATTTAACGCGTTACGTCGTGCATGGAAATAATTATTAATTCTATTATTAATACATGATACGATTTTTAATATGCCATTGTTCGAAATATCTAATTCCTTCGCAATAAATTATTAGACAACGGTACAATCAAAAACTGATTCGCTATTTTTGAGCGAATCAACATAGAATTTCATCCATTTGAATGTCAACACTTAAATAATATTTCTTACTTTTGATCTTTTTAAAGTTACTTTCTACATCTTAATACTAATGATTCTATGATAAATTTTCAGGATTCCTCGATTTGTGTGATCATACAATGGTTTTCCAAAAAAAAAAACTGGACTACAAGGAATTTTTAATAACCATTTCCACTGGAAAAGAATTTTGTCCCTGAGAGATATAATGAGCATAATAAAAATGTTCATTGCCGTTTTAGGTTTTAGATTCACAGAAAAATCCATCATACAAAAATTCATCAAGATTATAAGTAGAAATTATCAGAAATTAATAAATAAATCACAATACTCGAGCAGCAATTATTCAATCCTCTTAATCAGTAATTTGATGCTAATAAGTTTTCATCTTTCAGATATCGTGCGCTGATATATAATACATTCGGCTTCGAATCAGGCGTTTTCACGCAGGTACACCCAGTATAGACGTCTGTAGGTGCCAGCAAGTTGAAACCTGCACGACCGGCAAGGTCGAGGAACCTAACGCAACCAGCCACCGCCGGCGCGATATAAACACCGCCGGGAATGGAAGAGACAGACCTACCTCTTCAGTTTCGAGATTGCGAAAAAAAAAAGGAGGAACACAAAGAAATAAGAACCGACCACGCCATAATACCGGGAAAAATACACTTGCACTGGTCGTGATCGAGACTTCATTTCACTCCAGTCTTCTACTTTATGGCCTTTGTTCATTTGTCTACAACTTTTCGTCCTAAAATGGAAAATCTTTCTCTGTATATGGTATGTTGAAATTCGAGTTTCGGTTATTTATAGTTAAAAAGTTGTTTTTTTTTTCAGAGATATGATTGGATACTTTTATATTTATATTGGATACTTACACTTTTATAAATATAAATTCAAATTTTTGAGATTTAATATGGTTTATGAACTGAAAATAGATTAGACATGCATTAAATGTTAATTGTATAATAAAATAACGAAATTTTATAATTATGATGTAATTATTTCTAAAATCTAAAATTTATTTTTTTTTTGAAATAAAAAAGAAAGAAGAAAATAAGTATAAAAAAATTACATATTTAAAATACGATTTCTTTTGAAATAAATGTTTTTAACGTCGAAAAGATTATTCTTTGTGATGAATACAAATTGCAACTGATAAGTACATCGTTCTAGCGATGATGAATTATGTTTAATTAGAAAGACTTCGTAGAATTGGTGAAGCGTGTACTATTAGGTAGAGTTTGAAACAATCGAAAGGAAGCCAGGCGACGAATTAATTAAAACAAAGAGCGGCCAATTAAGCCAACGGCGGGCAACGATCTCGCGTTGCGCAAGTTCCGTAATACCGTCAAAACGAGACGGTGCTTTCTCTTGGGAAACTAAGCGGCAACAGAAAATTGTATTACCGAAAGTATAATGTTACATAAATTCGAAAGTTTGATAACAAAATGATGCGTCTTCGCAAATATCAAAAATCGATGTAACGATTGGAATTTCATGTTTTAATCGTGTGAATTCGATTATTTAAATTCATACATATAGTTAAATTCAAATTTAAATATTTACATTGAAGTAAACGTCGCTTCATTCAATAATTTATAAGTTAAAACAATTGTCAAATAAACAAACTATAGTATTAACTTCGTAAATTCAAATGTATACAAATATAGTAATTTTTAGTTTTAAAACAATTAAAAGTCTCATTCATAAAAGATTCGTGACACACAATAAATATTTCCAATTCTAAATTCCTCGCAAAACAGGAATATAAATATCGATTATTTAATCAAAAACTTCGAATCGTTTTAAATCTCAAACAAAATCCGATAAAAGAGATTTTTCTAAAAATATAGCATAAGCCACGATATAAGATAAAATATCTATTATCATTATCATTAATCTCATTATTTTATCAATTTCAGTTAACTTGTCAAGTCAGACGATTAAATGTTTAAAAGAGGTTCCATCGCTGATTATGAATAGCGATGAATGCAAATGAATTCATGCATCTGACTAGCGCCTCTTATTCCACGAAACACTATAATGCTTGAACAAGCGAATTAGAATACCGACACGAAGCATCGCGAGGCTGACATCACGGGTAGTTTCTCTCCATAGCGTTCTTACAGCGGTTACAAGTCGTTGTGACGTCACAGCGAAATAACGGACACAATCTTCGCGTACGTTCCACTTATTCTCGAGGACGATGATCATCTCTGCGTTATGCGGCCCCGCAGGAATTTTCTAACTCGGTCTGCCGTGTGAAAATTCTCTAGAAACGAGGAAAATCGTTAAATAGCCATTTTAACATAGGGAAATAGGAAATCGTAATTGGATTTATTTAAGAATTCGGTTTGTATACCTCAATTTTTTAATATTTTTAACCGTTTAAACATTTTTAAACATTTCATGTATCCAAGATCTTCAGAATTTTACACGAAGTTGTCTTCATTTTGAAATTAATAGATAAAAAAAACTAATAAGATTCTGAAAAGAAACGAACGACGAATAATTATTATATCGTCAGATAGATATTTTTTAAAATGCAAATAATTTTTAAAGATACATTTATAAATTCGATTCTTCGAGAACTGATACATCAGGCAAGGAACGCACAGTATTTTAATGAAACGGAAAGCAGTCTGACGAGAGTGTCCGGTATTCGAAAAATCTTCCATCGCTGATATTAGCGATGCACGAACGTGATGGTTACGCATTCGAATCCAACGGGTGAATCTCATTTTTTTCGTCAACTCGAAATCATGCGACCTTGACAACTCGATGACTAAAGATTAACATAACATATTTCTCGAATCGCTACGCTTGTTAATCTGTTTCAAGACGTTTACAGAATTTCGATCATTTCTTTTCTATAATCTTTTGATCCATTGATATCACTATTAAAATTTTCATTAAATTTTTCATTTCAAAAAGTAAAAAAACATAATGAATCATTGAGAAGACTGTTATAATCTTTCAATTTTTATATTATTCCGTATTCATTTAAAAAACATAGCCTTCGTTTATTCTAAACACATCATGTCAGATGATTAATACTACGTAATACTTTAATAATTATGAATGATCGAAATTACGCATCAACGAATTAAAAATCGATTTTTCGACTATTGTATCAAACCACTATTTTACATGATTGAGTTCAATAATTACGGGTTGTTCGCTTGATTTCGAGTTTCCCGTCGTAGAATCGCTATTTGCGGATCGATTATTCTAGCCGGAGGAAGACAAGATGATCGCGTGCGAAAGGAAAACTTCCGGTCGGTTACAGAGACCTCATGATCCATCCGGGCTCGCCTGTACACTTCAAATCCTATAAATTAGAGATCGTGGGATGGCATTCAACGATTTCCTAGTGATAATCTTCGTGATCCATGAATTTCACACATAGATTTTGCATGAATTAATCATACAATAGATTCTTAATTATTAAGATCAGGTTCACCGGTTTTTTCACCGAACCGAGAAAAATCGATGGAAAGAGAAAACTTTCATTTCTCTATCGTTGAAGATTTTTCTTGATATTGGAAAAACAGAACATTCCTTTCTTTGTTCCCATGGAATGAACATGGAAGAATCGTAAAATTTAAGGGCTCCAAGAGAAGTTCACGACCCGTGAATGTGAGCATAATTTTAGAATTTCAATAAGGCCATTTTAATTTCAAATAGTTTTGGTAGTTGCATCTCGTTTAGAATATTCTAAAAAATCAAAAATTAATTTTATTCGAAGATACAATCAAAATATGTACTTATATATTCAAGCAAATAATTACATTTAAAAACAATGTAATTAAGAGTTAAGTAAAATATATGATTGTTTCTGGAATTTTTTTCAAAATTAATGATCAATGATCTTTTCCAATCGCATTCAAAATATACATTTTAAACGATCGATTTAGATATATTTTTGTGTACAAATTCCATTCGGATGTTGTATTTAAGAAGACGACTGGAGCGATAGATTTCCAAGTAAAAGCGCTACCGATAGCCTTTTATCTTTCGAGCACATTTTTCTGGTATCTTATCTAGTCATAGGAATCTACAAACTTTTAAATTTCGACTAAATATTATGCGGTTCGTTCTCTGTAATGTCATATCAGGATCCATGATCATTGTATTTTTACCCATAATCTTAACAAAACAAATAAATGTATTCGTAATATTAATGCAATCAGAAGATACTGAAGACACAGTCCAATCATTACGTAAATAAGCAAACATAATAATTGCTATTAATATTAATCACTGACAATCATCAAATATAGATTTCTCGTTATTTATTATCAGTGTTTAAAGAGATTAGAAATTCGAAATTAACAATATGGATCGGTTCAAAAATATCGGAGAGAATAGATAAGGAAAAAATTTAATCGTCGCACTTCAAGAACTCTGTTAAACGTAATTTCTATCACTGATTATATATCTATTTTCTTATATATCTATTTTCTGAAATCATGCAATCAAAGTATCAAAAAGAGAGAAAAAGATAGAAGTTGTTCATTACAATGGAATGCGTAGAGGGAACAATACTGGAAGAAACAGCCACCATAGCAACTTCCGGTCGCAAAGAAGGCGGTAGCCTCTATGAAACGGGGATTGCTTTTAAATTAACACAAGGTAATTACAGCGACTTGTAATGTAAGTATTTGAGCGTTATCTTATATTCCTAAATAAGAGTCAAAAGTCACTCTTCAAATGTAACTTAATAAAAACTAATTGGAGATAGTTCTCACAGGCAACTAATTTAATGATATTTTTTAGGAATTATCCAAAGTCAATTGTCCTGTAAAAAGTAATAAAACAATCAATATGATTGGATTGTAAAATAATTTGCAATTAAACAATTGAGAAAATAGAATGATGACAGTTCTCACTATAATTTGTTCTTTCTTTCAAATACGTCTTCTTAAAGTTTTTTTATACTTTAAAACACCAAAAATTATTTCTGATAATTACTAAAATGCAAACATGAAAGGCAATAGAGAGTTTCTTGTAATGCGTTTATATGTATGTCATTCTTCATTAAACTGTTTTAATGATCCCATGGGTCGCAGAATCATGGTGAAGCAAGATAACTAAAATGATGCGAAACAACGATTTCTATATAAGCATGTTATTTCCTGAAGATTATGTATTTGTGATATTTCCTTCGACAATTTCCTGTCATCATTTTCTAACTCGCGAAATTTCGTGATAGATTCATTAAATTCATTGAAATTCAGATTATCTAAAAATAATTTTATTATTATTATCTATCATGTTAGTGTTTGCATTGTATTGAAACATAAAAAATACTTGATATTTAAATTAAGTTATTTATCTGTTATATTTGTAATAATTGGATTTTTAGGACCTTTATGTAGATATACGTATGCATTCAATTTTATTACTAATACAATATAACTGTATTCAAACATGTTAAAGTATGTCTGTAAAGAATACTTTCTGAGACTTTACCGGTGCACAGTATTAGATTAAGCACTAAAATTGCCAGTTAATATCTTCTATTATAATTTTTGTTTTACATCATTGTTAACCTCTCAACCAATTCTGTCAATCAAATGACAATTTACTTTGTAAGTTAATTATGTAATCTTGTTTCTTTTAATATTTTTTACTTCTTTATCTCATGATGACAATAAAAATGTTTTGCGATCTTTTTGTATCAATTAAATATTTTCTTTTTCAAAAATTCAAAATATTCATTTTATGGATTTCTTGAACATTTCGCAATTTTTTCGATTATAATCTTGTTTAAAACTAAAGAAAGAATTTATTATAATAATAAATCTAAATATTATATACTAAGAATGATAATTCACGAGAAAATTATCGAATCTAATTATCTAAATTTTTGCGAGAATCGAATTGCATCGATATATAGAACGTACGAAACGCGCGAGAACGGAAAGCAAATCCAATGGTACGAAGGTGCACGAAAGAGGCCGAGCGGGTTCGGAAGCAGCCGAGGCCATCTGTTACGCTTGGTTCCCACGCTTCCGCCGTCGCCTTTCCCCGCCTTTGGACCAGTCTTCATCGGTCCTTTTCTTGCCTCCACCTTCATCGACACTGGCAGCTCTTACTGTCGCTTTATTTTATATAGCCCGAGAACGCTTGAACGTCTTTAACCGCGACTTTGCGTTTTCTGTTACGAGGCTAAACTTTTGTCCATTACCGCGAGATTTCTATGCGTTCACAGTTTCGTTCAGCTTAGTTTTGTGGTAAAAGTTATATGATATATCTTATAAAAATTAAACTGATTAATTTTTTTGATTTTTGATCCTTTGTTCATAACGTAACAAAACAAAAAATATTATTATTTTATTTTTTTCCGTTTGTTTCGAAAACCAGTCCATGTAGTATGCACATACCTGTTTAATAAAATTCAGAAACAGATCGTTTTTTTAGTAAAGATGTTTTCAAGTTAAAATGCGATTTTTCTTTCTAACCTAATTTCGTCATAACAAATCATAAACTATTTATACTAAATACAATATTAGCAATTATGCTAATTATTATTTTAAAATACGATTATTAATTCGATGTGGTTAGACACATCAATAATATGATTTAGTTTGTGAAAAAAAAAAAAACTCGCTTTTAACATAAGGCACGTGCCGTCAAGCGGCTGCAGTCGCGCCATTGTCATCTTCTCAGAGGCTGTGTTTACACAACCGAATATCCCCAATCACCCCTTGCGGAAACTTGGCACTCCCAATTGTTGTGTACAATCGTTCGCAAATGTGTTCGTAAGAGAATCGTAAGAGAACACACGTGCACGTGTGTTAGCAACGCGTTGTTGAGGGGACTAGAGCGATTAAACCGACCGCAAAAAAGATGAACTCGATTCCTTAAATACACGGTCAATATGGCAGGGGGAACAATGACGGTGACAATGTCAAGTGACTTCCAGCAATCCCTTGTTTACCCATGAATAAATTCCATTTATTTTGTTATACAAACACATAAAGAATAAAGGATCAAAAACGTAATAAATCAAATATTTGAAACGATTCTAAATATATATGAATAATTTGATAATTTTTGATAATTTTAAAACAATTCCTTGAACAATTTAAAAAACATAAGGAATAATCTCAAGGGAAACGATTACATTTTAAATTCGATATTAATAAATTGGCATTGTAGTTGATAATCGATATAATCATCCAATCGATAATAAATCGATATGTCATCAAAGAGATATCGATTCTGAACGAGGTCAGGTTCAAAAAAGTTTGCAAACAATTTAACGATATATTTCTAGCTATCGAGATAAATCGATCATTCGACATGATAGAAAGATGGCGAAGAGGTTATGTAGTTTCGTCTACGATTCTGTTGAAACATTTGACTGTTGTTTCATGATTTTGTTACCCATGTAATTGTTTCAACGAAAGATTATTCTATTCGCTGTAAATTAGTGGTGTTATTATACAATTAAAATGTTTTGCAATTTATAGATAATATAATTTGCAAAAAAAAAAAGAAAATATTAGTTAAAAAGTATGTATTCAAAAAATAATTATTACATTACATTACACTATATTATTAAAGCTGCCATAAGAATAATTTAATTTTGCATTGAATTGCTTGACTACACTCAAAGAATGAATATGAAAATTCTCTCTTTTCAGTGCATTTACAAATTTATAAATATTTCATTATACAATGTTTTGTTTCTGGCAAAAGTGCTCACAAATCGATACCAAATGGTTACAAAGGTATGTATTTATTTTAATAAGAGAATTAATATGTAATATATTAACAAGGGCGCGTATAGGTAGAAAACTGAATCTGTGCCAATAACGATATAGAATCATGAATGGTGCTATTGTAAATGATATCGAAATGCAACCCTCTGTTTCCGTTTTGTCCAATAATAGATTTCCCCCATTCTGCGGTTTCCCTTTATTCGCATGAAGATTAAATTACATGGCTGTTCGACATGGTTATGAAATTGAATATAACGAATGATAAACGGAAGTAAAATTTTTTATTTTCTAAAAATTAAAAAAATATGTTTTTATAGTAATTTTAAATAAATATGGGGGATAAATTGGGAGATAAATCTCAATTAGAAATAGTATAAATTAATGTCACGTTTATTTAGTAATACTTTTTTTTAATGAATTATCAATATGTGAAGTATCAATGTGAAAGTAAACAAACGTACAGGCCACTATAAGTGCAAATGCAGGGAGAACTGAAATGCAGCACATAACTGACGATTAAACCATGGTTGCTTGAAGCGTATAGCAACAGACCGTTATCTGAAACACGTATGACGATAAACTTGAAACGCTGCTCCAGTATATTCGAGGAATGACCTACGTGGAAGTTGGCATGCCTAACCGAGATCATTTATAAGTTAAACAATATATAAAATTAAATTTGTATATTTCTTTGAGTTTTATTCACTTTGCAGAAACTAAAACACACTTACGTTTACATATACAAAGAATTACACAATCTACCACTATTTTTCTTTTTTATGAAATCAATCATCATTAATATAGATTAAATTTTGAAAGCATTAACCATTAACCACGATAAGCATGTTAGAATAAAAAAAAGAGATTCTAACCTCATCGGTAATAATCGGCGTCTTGTCCATGTTGTCGTTGATCGGGCTGGGTGGCGATGTGGGACTAGCACTGGGGCTCACATGAAACCCTTTCGACTCCTTGGCAGGCCTCTGGGGGGACACCCTCGCAGGGAAGCTCAAGGTTTTCGTCCACTGCGACAGACCACGCACCATCTTTTCTTCTTTTCCAAAATTTCACTGATATAATATACAATAATACTACTATCTGTACGTGTATATCTAATTCAGTGAGTTCAATGCGCGTTTCGACACTCGCGATTGTTTAAAAAATGGGCAAAACACAAGAAATAACGAGGGAATTCGATGTCAGCATTTGTTCAGACGCAAATCTTCTGTAGCCTGATCTTCACAAACTATGAATTCACTTTGAAGCGTTAACCAACCGCTTATAAATATTAATAAGCAGTTCGAGAGATCTGGCGTGTATCCGTGTCGTGACACGCATGGAAACGGTCTGCTAGCACGCGCGCTAGCAACGCACGCCACGAAGTTTACTGACAGACTGTTCGCAGTCCGGTCGGTCGGTCCTCTCTGTGGAACGGTCGCGTCATGCCCGCTGGACCAAGCGCGCTGATTGGTAGATACGATAGAAAGTGAGAAGCAACGCGTGCGAAACAAGGACAAGCATAGTGGAAAATGGCTAATGGGGTGGTTCGTATTATAAGAGGAAGCGAGACTGTATAAAATGATATCGCGTAAGACGAACGCAACCACGATATAATTTTCAAGAGATATAAACTTTTTTTCGTCAAAGTAATCCGTTGCCTTCTTGTTTTTTCTTTATTTTAGTGAACAAGCAAAAGAGAAGAACGAGAGAAGTTTAATGGCGTTGATGAGACAAGGATAGTGACCAGGGAAAGACGGTGAATGAAGGAACGTGTGAAAGAGATTATCGGATATGTGGCACAAGTACAATCGCCGCTAACTTCATGGATCGTGGTTTAGAAATCGTTTAAGGTTACCTAGGATCGGTTCAATATACGTAATAAATAATATGAAATGATTTTATATTAAGGTATGGTTAAAAATAATAGAATTCAATATCTTTTATTTTTATTTTTTTTCTAATTTCTCCAAACTTGTTCCATTTTTGTAATGAAATTAATAACTGTATAAATCAAATAAACAAAGAATAATAGAAAAACTAATTTTAAAAAACATCAAAATTTACTACTTTTAAGGTTAACTAATATTTGACTAAATATTTTAATAGAGGTTAAGTGAACATCAAAGTTAAATCATTTTAAAAATCCAGGTAAATGTATTCGAAGAAAAATTATCTATGTTTTCTTTCTACAGTGGACACTCCAATAACTAATCAAGATTATCGATGTGTTGATAGGAACCAGGTAGTCGAAGTAGCCGCTATCAAAGCGGTACTTTTACTGACGCCCTTTCCAAGACAAAGAATTTGTCCAATAGCGATTCGTGATCGGTAAAGACATACTCGTGTTGCCAACTGCAGGTCCGTCACAGTGGAGGGGAGGAAAACGACATTGTAAGGCCCAACTGGCAAGGCATGTTCCTTACATTCAACCGCGTTCAGCTGTATGTACGCGGACAGGATCTAGCCAGCTGCGGCCTTCTTCGACCTTCCCCCCACCAGACCGGAATCGAGCCTTCTGGCCAGCTATACAAACCGGTACCCCAGCGTTCTAACAAGGAACATCCGCGAAGACTCCGCCTTCGATCTTGGTGAGACATTATTTTGCCAGGACAATCGAAAACAGAGCACATTTATATATCACCTCTTTATGTTTATAGATGATGATGATAATTAAATGAAAGACAATTATGCCATATGGAATGCAGTAGAGAACTAACAGAATAAGTGGAACATAAAAATAAACGATTTAAAGAGAGGAAGAGAAATAGTTAGTTAATTTATTCTGAATCATTCACAGACAAAAAAAATCTTTGGCAATTGAAATATATCGTTCTCGAATTTGTTCTTTTTTTTTTTGTGAAAAGATTTCAAATATTTAACTTAACGAATTATTGTACAATTTAATGATGATATTAATAAATATTTTTGAATTTTTTAGATTTTTCAAAAGCTCAAACTCAGTATAAAAAAAAAATTTTGGATATAAATAACCTTTACCTATATAAAATCGAGATGAGCTTAATTTTTTAAGTTACAAATTTCATATTATTATTATAAATATCTTAATTTTTGTAACGATTGTTCAAAAGTAAAGATAAAAAAATTCATATATCTATAAATATCATTTCGCTCTGAGAAATATTATCAGATCTAAAAATATTTGATATCGATTCTCTTCCGAATTTCTAATGCTTTAGTCAGTTTCTTCATCATCATATGTTGTCTAAGCGACACAATTTCGACCAAATGGCTTTACCCTTTGAGTTCATACCTATTACAGACATTCAAAAGATTCGTAGAACGAATGTTTAATTCAGCCCGCATAGTTCAAGAGTTCACAGCATCTGTTCCCTATTTTCTTTGACCAGAAAATTCCAACTGACCGTCAGATAAATGGGTATGTCATTTTTTTCTCCCTGATATATTCTGAACCTCACCTCAGGGGACCAATTCACATCAAATTCGAAGCACGTTTCGTTCGAATAACTTCCTAAATCGATATTAATTAGTTTAACATATGTTCTTGCGAATAATCCAATTTCATGCCATGACAATCCCTAATTTGATGCAATCACGATGTCGAAGACAATAAAATCTATTTCAAAAATCGAAACGGATCGAGAGAAACGTTATTACTACGAGCTATGTCAGGGATAGTTGAAGTCGATTGTAAGGATTCCTATTTAAAGCCTTCGACTAGCCCATATAAATAGCATTGTTCACCTTGGATGGATAACGAAGTATTATCGTGAACGTCGTTCATTCATTGTTTTATTTTTATATGTGTATGAACAATGTATATGTATCTATAAGAATGATAAATTGGAAAATTATTTTGATATTTGATATTTTGTAAAAATAATTCAAAATGAATTGCTAAATTATTAGAATAAATTTTATAATTGTTAGATAACTATTAAATAATAATTCAAAATAGGGTTGTTTTTATTCTTTTTTTAAATGAGAAACTTTAATATTTTATTAAAAAGTTCAAAAAACTTAATTTATTTTTTATTAATTGTAATATTAGCACAACTATATTTGCATTTATCGTTTCATTTTTATTTGTAGCTCTTCTCTTCACAGAAGAAAAGAAACGTCAAGAAGAGAAGGATGATAGGGATGGTTTGAAATTCGAATATAAGGATTCTTTTATTTAAAATTCGCAGCAGGTGCGCTATGTCAGGTTGTATTAATTCCCTAAGGACATACTATAATTTCACAGATATGATATTCACGATCACGCACCTTTTCGTCCCTTCTTATACATAGGGCAGGTGTCTCTCCCCTCTTTTTTCTCTCTCAGATCAAAATCATTCTTTCATAAGAGTAAACTTACATGAGTTTCGATAGTTGTCGTCGACATCCCTTTTTACAGATTTCAATTTGAGTTTCTGAAATATTTTATTTTATTTTATCTCATATAGAATTTAAAGGATCAATTATTTTATATTTTAGGAAAAATATGATATAGATATAATATATTAAATATAAGATAAATTATTTTAGATATCGACGAAAATCACATTACGAAATTATACTAATGATAAGAGGCATAAGAAGTTATTTTTTAAAGAAATTCTAAGGTAATATAATTATTATTATATATTTATGAAATTCTAATTTTCTTTCTATATACATATACAAGATTATATATATATATACATATATATTCAATATACAAGATTTTCTTTCTAGCTACATAAGGATAATTGAAAAGAATATATTCCATATATACATAAATTACAAATTATAAAATCAAATATTTCATTATAAAAAAATATTACAAAAAAATAAGATATCTTGAATCAAAAGAAAATTTTGAAAACTTGAAAAATTAATCGTTTGGATCTAATATGAAGAAATATGATGCAAACCGTTGCATTTTCCAACAATACCATTCAGGCCACTTTTGCGATGGAATATCGAACACTAATGTAATTGGTGCGTAACGTTTCTCGTGTCAAGGGATCCGATATCCTTAATAACCAGTTTCTCCGATTTCCAGACCAGATGCTGACTTATCAGAACCGCCAGCATACAGAATATCTCAATGCAACCGGAACTCAGAAAAACCGTCCTCTCATCGGCATCTTTTCATCATCTACTCGATTTATTCTAAACCAACTCGATTACATGTCGATAAACGGAAATGGAGCGATTCAAACGAGAATTTAATGATTCACCATCGATTTTCTAAGTAAAAAACAAAGTAGAAAGTTGTCAAACATGTTACAAGTTATCAAACTACAAAATCCATATTGTAAGTTCGAAATAATAATAGCTCTTTTTATTCTTCAACAGGTTTGAAACTGACAGTTTCACGATTTTTCCATAGATTTCTGGTGCACGTTTTTGTAATCACGAGGGAAATCGCGATTACGTAGGTTCAGTGGTAGACACACGTTTCCTTGACGTTTAGTCCAGTTTTGCATCCGGCACAGGTACATACTGGGGAAAGGTCGAGCTACCGACCTGAATATGTTGATGATTACGCAATAATTCATGCACTGAATGTGTTTTTTATACTTTAAAACTGATCAGCTTGGAATCAAGAATAATATTGGATGGAGATAATTATATAGAGAGAAATATTTTAAAATATTTTAAAATGTTTAAAAAAAATTGTGAATTATGAGTTATAAGAGAACGAATGTCTCTTCAAGAAGAAAAATAAATTTTCTTTGTATTGCAATCGATTGATATTCGATGATGAAATAATTTTTGAGATGGATAAAATTATTTCACAAGTATTGAATATTATATATTATTAAAAAATCTAGAAATAAATATTCAATCGAAAATCAATCTTGCTTTGAAATTCCTAATCAATATTCCTCACACATAACATATATTGCAAAACATCTCAAAAAATATGAAACAAGTTTTTAACATATTCCATTTTCTACATAAACTTCAAATAATAAAAAATTCCTTGATATAAACATGCAGAAAGGTGAAGTACAATATCTCTTCAGAAAATCAATTTTATATACCCTTCAGAAATAAAAATAAATTTTCTTCACATCGCAGTATAACGTGAAATCGATAAAAATTCATTCCAGATCGATATTGAACGGGGCAGACAGCGCATAGAGCGTTCAGCTCGAACAAAGAAGGATTTTTCGAGGCGCCGATGCGAGCAGCACCTGGAGAGGCGATGTGAGGGACCATTCGGAGGATAGGAGCGGCCCAGCGAATAATATTGGGAAGTCTGCAGCTGTCACAGCAGCTGCAACCCTCCTCGCTTGGCTCACAATCTGACCGGCAGCTTTTCTGCCTCCTCCTCATCCTCTTCACCCACCTCTGCCACCTTCTCCTCTCGTATGCCATTACCTCGTTCTCATGGTCTAACTTCTGCCTCGTGTTCTCATTCCGGTCCTTCCAGAATTGAGATAAAAACCATCTTATGGAGACCATTGATTCAATCCTTTAGTTTTAGCTTTAATCTTGTTGTGAATTTTCTGGAGGAAATTCTTTGAAGAATTTTTCTATTTTTTTCCTTCAGTTTGATTATGTTTTTCAGATAATGGTGCCGAAAAATTATGGAATTTAAAAGAACTTATGTAAAATGGAAAAAAAATTATATATGCACCCTTCTAATGAAATGTTTTGAATATTGACAACAAGTGAGAATGTTTGGAAATAAGATAATCAGTCTTTATATGCAGATACTTATGAAAAATAAGGTTTATAAGATAAGAAGAAGCACATTATATAATAAGAATTTATAATGATGGATTAACTTTCTTTTAATTTTTTGTTATATTTCGTATAAACGAAAGCATCGTATAATTTTGAATTATATTCTTAATATGTCTACAATGAAAGGTGAAAAAAACACTTTTTTTTCGTTTGAAAAGTTTAATTAAACAAGACTCAGTGCATATTACTTCCATATATAATACATATAAACAAATGTAAGCAAATATAAGCGATTCGTTTGAAAAATCTACAACAACCAATGAAAAGAAAATTACGAAGAATAAAAATAATGGTAAATCTTCGATTCCAAAGGGAACAATAATATTCTCGCCAATGATTTGAAAAAAAAAAAAGAGAAAAAGGGAGTTCGTTTCCCGTGTCAAATAAGTATCCCTTAAAACATGAAATGAAAGTATGCATCGAGGAAATGAACGTGCACATTAATGGAGTGGTTTCTCAAATAGGGGGGCCCCCTTCCTTTCCGCGCCAACATGTGGGTGTATATCTAGGCTGTACCTAGCTCCACGGAGCAATCAACCCCCTTTTTTCGAAGCCAACCACCGAGACCATCCTCTTGCACGAGGAATGCGCGGTGTAGGTCAGCTGCTCCTTCTGTGAAACTAAACTTCCTGCGTCCACGTGCACATCTGCTCCCTTTCAGGCACCTGGAAGGGGAAATCTCGTGGTCCTGGATGAGTATACGTAGTCACGTATCACGTGTATCCCGAGGGTTCTTCGCGACTCGATGGTGTACATGTATAATGATGGAGGAACATAAATATTCTCGTCGTTAATTACAGGTATGGAAGATTTATTCTTTGTTTCGTGTTCTCCGGTATTTATGGGGAATAATAATGGATTGGTATTGTTACGTCACATTGACAGAGAGTCTATGAGAAGTTTTTATTGAGATTTTTATACGGTTCGTACATTTGAATATTGTTCCGTGTATCATAATGTGCGAGTTCTTGTGAATTGTGTTTCCTGACTCTTTGAATGATCAGAAGATATTTAAATGAATGTTTTCTATTTTTAGAGAAGATTTTTATGAACGTATGAGGAATAAATTGTGATAATATTGATTTTTATGACAGCCAAATTGAAAAGTTGATTCTTAGAAAGATCTATGAAAATGAAATAGACAGTATGTATATTGTGCGGATATAAACTATTATTGAGGTAGTTTAACGAAACAATTAACGGATCAATAAAAATGAACGAGAAATTCAATATGATGTATCAAGGTATTAATAATGATTTATCTAATTGTTAAAATAAAAATAAACGTCTCCTTCGAAGTTAATTAAATCGTTTAGCTACTAATAATTTAGAGATCATTTTCACACTTTTAAATTTAACGTCTTAACCTTAATTAATAATTATAAAATGTATCATAATGAGCGTTAATTAACCTCAATTTTTGCAATTCGTAATACCATTCAAATTTATTACCCCAAAGTTAAATCATTTTGAATTCATTAAATAATTTCAAGGTAAGACATATCTGAATTTATCAATTTTTTGGAACAAATCGATTTCAATTTATCAATTGCTTCCAGTTACTTCTGAAAAACCTGTTACTTCGAATTCATACTTCGAAATATATTATTTTTTAGATTTATCGAGCTTCATTACTTATTAATTCTTTCAATTTAATTTATCTCTTGATATCAAAATGCAAAAAATAAACGTAATAAGAAAATGGATAATACTCGAATTCAAGACGATGTTTTTCATTAATTCATCGTGTTCATTCATTGACGAAAGTTATAGTGATTCGATTGATCCAGCGGAAGTCGAAACTATTACGACCGGTTTCGAGAGATTGGCCGGTTATCCGGCGCAATTACATTGTAGCCGGCTCATCACGCGGTGGTTGTTACGAAACTCATCCTTTTCCAACTGTAACGGACATCAATCTTCAATATTTCGTTGAGTCGATAATTCTTCGAAATTGTTCTTCGATCTTCTTCTCTCGCATACGATCTCGACGCGACATCCATACAAAGCTTCAAGTTTGTCCGTGGAATCTATGCATTCCACTCGAGCCATTAACACGAAAGCAGTACTGACAACTTACAGGCGAATTCTTAACAAATGCCTTTAAGTGCATCTTCTTGCCTTTAAGCAATATATTTAAGAAAGTCGTATAGAAGCTACTATATAATCGTTCTCCATTACCGTGACCGTCTCTGGGAACTTGCATTGTTCTAATTTGTCACAACTCTTTGTTCCCAACTCGACATTATTGTTAATCTGAAAAGTTTGTTCGAAATGTTTGTTATCGTCGGTTTGTCGGTATTCAAATGAATAATTTTTGTGAAACAGGATGATGAAAGTTGTTGCGGGTTTAATGAACTTTGACTGGAAATATGTACAGGGTGGTTTATTTGTTATTTATACCACAGAAGAAGTAGAAGAATCATAAATTCTCGTTCTCCAATATATCCAAACACCTCCCATCGAATATATAATTAAACCCTTGATAAACATGATAAATTTTCGCATCGATCGCTTCGAAACGATCAAAAGTAAGAATAATTGAACGATTCTGATTCAAATTACAAATTTGATCTTCCTTTAAAAACCTCGATATTTCTCTTTTTAAGGTTCATCAATGAAAATTTCCCCGGTTCGAGGTGACGTTGCAACGAGCAAAATCCTTGAGATGTTAGATCCCATATCGGGAAAGTGGCAGGAATTCCGAGCAAACGGGACACCCTGTATTCGCTTGGTTGTGTAATCGGCCTTAAGGATAAACGGACGCACACACGTTTAAGTAGCATTCGCAAGTAGGGAGGTTCGTATCACAAAACGGCCAAGTGAAAGGATAGGCACCAGTTCATCTTGTGTCTCAACCTCCAACCAACCTTCTCGAATATATCCATTCGTGCTGCAAGTGCGTCAGCTATTCGCATAAAACAACGGTTAATTCGAATTCACGTCGTTCACTCGGCGAGCGAAACGAGAAACGCAGTTATATTATTCCTTTGACTATTTTTTTCAGAAGGAAAATACATTCGTGTTTATTCGTTGCTTGTTTTACGAGGGCACGCATAAGTTATTATATAAATTTCTACCATTCGTGGGTAATGAACTTAATTTCCTTTTTTTAATTTTTCCGCCGTGTATAATTTAAGAAGTTAAATTATGTTGAATTAAATTAAAATTAAATTCAATTACGCTGGATATGAATTTTAATTTGGGAAATTAGGTAATTTTGTTATCTAAGACTCTAATAATATACACGGAAAAATTAAAAAATTCTTTAATCAATTCATAATTTTACTTATTCTCTATTCTATTCTAAATTTTATTGCTATTATCCAATTCTATAAAATTCTTTTCTCCATTTTTTCGATCATTTATTTTTATCGTACCTTCATCCCTTTATTATTCATTTTTTTCAGCGATGCACACAGATAATGGATAAAAGAATTCGAGAAAGTTGCACAACAACTAAAAGATATCGTACAAATATACATCTTGTATAATTCTCAACAGGAAATTTCAGCAATTTTATTTCCCTCAATTTACCTAACACCACAAAAGAATCAGCCAACAGCTTATCATCACACGACATCTTTCTCTTATTTCGATCTTCATCTCCACAATCGCCTACCAACGTGTAATTAAGGATCATGAATATTCGACCGCCATTCCGTTCCTTTCTTCCATCGATCTAAACAACCAGGATCTCGATCTAGATAACTGGCTCGATATCATTTCCACGAGCAATCCAATTTTACGCAGAAGGAAAAGCGAAATCTGAGTATCAACAATATTCCCAGACGTTGAACATCTTCGAAAGCGTGCGCAACATCTGTTCGCCTCAATTGTGAAATCACTCCCAATTTTCAACGTGGAAAGAAACCTTTCGAACTCAACTCGACTGGGTAAAATAACGATGAAATCACGGAGGAACGCACCGCTTGCACGGATCGAGGATGCACCTGCATCTGGTGCATTTTCGGATGGATCACTGGCCAGATGTCCCTCACACCCGTGTCGAGCTTTGGTACACGTTTCTGGCTGCTGTTCAAAATTATCCAGAATTCAATTATTCTTTGTTTGAAGTGAATTTGGATAGGATAATTTAAGATTAGAAGATTTTTAAATACTGCTATTGACTACTATTGAGTGATGTTACGTGGAATGTTGTATTCGTTGAAGTGAATTGATAATATGAATGATAGTGAGATAATTTAGAAGATTTTTGGATGATGTGTCCGTTCAAATTTGGAATGAGTTGATACTGTAGATGGTAATTATTATACGAATCAACATCGTTGGATGATTATCTTATATGACAACGCCCATTGTCTATTAAATGAAATTATCGAGTAAATTTGTCGCAATCTGATCACAGGATTAACGAGACATAAAATTTCATAGAATTAAAATTTGTTCACAGAAAGTTGAGATAATTACTGGAGGATATTGCAATTATTAAAAACATTCTGTTATTACAAGATTATGATAATACAACGACAACGGAGTATACAAAAATCTTAATTTATAATCGAAGCAAGAAATCAAATTTGTTTCAACAAAATTCTATTTTAATTATATCTTTCTTTCATTAACAATTATTCAATGTGTCCTATAACGAAACTTTATTTTTCAGTTCCAACCAATTTGCAATAAACAGGATATAGAATATCGTGACACGTCGCCCACCACATGAAACATCGAAATATTTTATCGAAATACACAGCTTCAAGGACTACGAGTTTTACAAGCAATACACAGAATTAATCACAATATGCATTCTCGCGTTATTATTTTCTAAAAGATCCACAAATAACGCATCAATGTGCACGATGAAATACGTAAACACAAATTACGTGGAAATTTATTCGATCATTCCCACACGGGTAACCAATCCTTAAGATCAATCGACATGGAGGGAGAATCAAAAAGTTGTCTACGGTAATTATATATTGTTATAATTTATATGTGTAATAGGATATCATATTGCGTCGTTTCCCTCCCTTTTTCTACGGTCTTTTTATCGGCCAGTGGCGTGCGACCAGCACGATCATACCGTGTCCGACGTCTTCCGCACATGGAAACCAGAGTAACCAGTGCAGTGAGTAAAAAGCTGCAGCTGTCACACAGAGGCAGGCAGCTGCAGCCGCGATGCGACTAGCGATGAGAGTAACACGTTTCCATGCAGTTTTAGTATTCACGGTGATTTCCAATTTTGCATAAACTCGCCGAAGGTCAGTTAAATGCCGAAACAAACAGGCGAAAAAAAAAGAAGAAAAGATGAAGAGGTACTCGTAATGCCAGAGTATTCTATATTCTTCAAAATATTTTTTAAATAATAAAACGTTTGAAAATTGATTAATCATGTGTAACTTATGAATATATCGATTTTAATGTTATTCAAAATGTAATTAACACGGTTTGAAATTGTTATTAAATCTTTTCCAGAGAATACTTTTTTCTCGTAAAGGATTCCAAAGAATCGAAACATTCGAAGTGAAAAGGAAATAAAATAGGAGACGCGATGTTGAATCTACGATCGGAGCAGGTGGTACGTGGAATTACAGACCCTTCTCCTATTCGCATATATGTACAAGTATGCGCTGGAATTCGGTGTTCTCCCTTTCATACTAATTCATTCACCTTAAACAGGTATGTTGAAACTCGGTTAAACGTAACACGAAGAATTCTTATAAGGTTTACCAACTTGAATTCCCTAATAAATTTATTTCGTTGAATTAAATTATCTCTCTTTTCAAAATGTCACATTTTCCTATTTATAAAATATTTTTTTAAAAAGTTGTACACGATTTTTAATAATCTTAACTCTGAAATTTTTTCATCCTAAAGAAAATCTAGCTAAAATATTCAAATTAGAATTCAAAGGGGGAAAAAAAGGAGGATAAAATAGACTTTGATACGATTTATTATGCATTATTCACGTGATGAAGAAAGGATGAAAAAATTCAACATTCCGAAAATTTCAGAAGCAGCTTAAATCGAATACCATTCGTAGAAACATTCAGAAGGCGCCATAAAAAGAGACTCGGTGATCGGTCAGTCTTTGATCGCTTTGATCGTCACGGGTGTTTATCGGTCAGCAGCAGCATTCCGTGCATATGCAACCGCACACCTAAGATGGATGCACAGAGATGAGAGAAAGTCGGAGATCCTGGCCTCGAGGTTGTCTTCGAGAATGTAACGAAGCGTTCGTATGCACGCGCGCGATTCTTGCCACCAGATAGGCGTGAACGTGACGCGAGGAAAATGTCATCGGATGCACTCTTGCCATCCCACATATTATTCTTATTAATTTTCCTTCTTTCTTTCCTCCATCCATCAAATCATATCGATTGTACTCGTAGGAATAAAAAATTTTACTTTAGGGAAAAACTGTAGAGCGTTGTGAAGAAATCAATCAATGTAAATGTTCATCAATCTTCTTTGAGTGGTTAATTAATTAATGCAGAGTTTTCCATAAGTACAAAGTTCGACGATCAAAAAATCCATTAAATAAAGTTACTTTTCATATTTGTAGAGTTAATTTCGAATTAACGAATTAAATTTAAAAAAAATCGATTCTCGAAATTATTATTATATTTCAATAATTCGAGAATTCTTCCTTCCCCTTCGGATCAAACGTATGAATTGAAAATTGTAAATCTAAAATCCTTGTTAATAGAAAGTTGTTAATAGTGGATACGTATTGCATTCGATACGATTAAATTAACGTTTATTAGCGGTGTATTTTCCATTGAAACAAGCCACTTAGCAGCCAGTAGCCGAGAAACGAAAGGTAGATACTGAGTTGCTTTGTAATAGCACACGCGGCAATAAGTAAACAGTCGGTTGATGCATGCGGCCTCATTATTCTCCCTCGTCAATCGGATTGTTTCGAATTAATAATTCACTGTTCCAGTTTATATATCACTATGCATCCTTGTTACGATTACCATGCGTTGAACGATCAGTGCAATTTAATAATTATCAATCAACAATTAACACGATGGAATATTGGTACGATTCGAATAATTTTTAATTGATAATATTAAAATTTCTTGTCGAATAAGAGAACGGAATAGAATCAATATTGAGAATGGAACTTTATTGCGAAAAAAGAATTAAATCGAATCGAAGAAGGTGCTTATGAATTAAATAAGTTTCTGAAAGTAAAAATAGTTTCTTCACTTTCTTTCACTTGACGAGAGAAGAAAATAAGAATTATTATGATAATGATTCTTTAACGTGTTTAGAATTCCCTGTGGAGTTATTTCAAGCGAATAAAGTTTCAAGAAGAGGATCGTTGTGGGAAAGCTATGGAAGAATCGAAATTGCTCGCTCTTGGAACGCGGCCGGAACACGTGCGTATTCACGCCAAGAGGGACGCCATTACAGCCGCCTATGAGAAGAAACGCACGAGCCCATTGTTTCAATAGGTTTTTCTACCTGTCCTGACTAGCAATATCCGAAATTTGTTTTTCAAATCAGCACTCTGGGATTTTCCATCAATAATCACCTCTATCGATCGTGAATGTTTTATAGCGCTCTCTAATACCTTTAAATCCTGAGGTAATCCTTACTTGCAATTAATAATTTTTTAAATATTGGAAAATAAAAAATAATAGTGGAAAAAAAGATATAATAAATTCATCGATTTTAATCGTAATAATTTTTAGAAAATTTTTAATTTTAATCTACCATAGATATAATAATAGAGAGAGTAGAATACTTGGTTGGTTTTATTAAGAAACTTGTGCAAGAATTACTCACCGGCTACGAAATCCAGATGACATTATAAAGCACTGAAACCAACGATAAAGGAATCAGCTCCACGTGCAAACAGTCACTTTACAGTGAAGATTCACCTTTCGGCTTCGAGTTATTACACTAAACAAATCCTTCACTATCGCAACAACTCGCGAAATATCGAGCTCGAGACGTAAAACGGAAAAGGATCGTTCGGCACGCTTCCTCGAGATCAGCTATTCTAAATCTTCTATGCCATCCTTGTTCCACGATCTATTCTTCCTTCTTCTCAATCAGAACATGAAAAATAAAAAACATGGCTTATTAAACAATATCAATGATCCAACAGAAATTCTATTCCGATAGAAATTCAAATATAGATCCGGACTACGCTTCCTTTCAACAAAGATCACAATGGGTTTCGAGGATCGCGGTGGACCTTCAATACCTGTTATTATTCAAAATCTAAATAATAGGTCCCTTCGATTATTCTTTGGAAAAATACGACAATGCACCAGGTAGCAGAAGAGGTAATAAAAAGAGATATCAAAGAAAGAAGAAATAGGATTATTTATACTAATCGAACCTTTCGATTCCAATGGTAATCCTGGAGAAATTGAATTATTCGTGGCCGCGGAGGACACTAATGATCGGGCGCCGGTTCGAGGCGTGAGTGTTATCAGCGGGAGAGGAAAAGCTCCGATAGTCCGGCCGTGGTGAACGACAGCGTAACATCGACTGCGTGTAGCGCACTCGGCGTGTTTCCAGGTGGAATGTGTGCGCTAGTAGGCACAAGCCAGAGAGTACACCGTGGCCGATGAAACGAGCGGAGAAACTAAAGTCCCATAGGATACACGCTTTGCTTCTATATGCTGTGTACACCTAGATAGTTATGAAGGCAGGTGCCGGCAGTCAGGTGAACGTGGCGGAACACAGGAAGTGCCAGAGACAGAGAGGCATTACAAAACTGTGGAATGGTGGGGACGGGGCAAAGGACGATAGAGGAAAGAAGAGAAAAGAGAGGAATACCGTGTGACTCGAGAAGTCGCGTGCCCCTTGTCGATAAAATTAATTTCCCTTCGTGAATCTGTTGTTTCGCGATTTTCAAATTCCTCGAAATGCCGTGTCAAGTGCTTAGAAATATCCCATAAGTTGTTCATTATGCATTACCATGCATTAACAATAACTTTCTATTCAGTAAACGCATTACAGACGCATTCAATTTATTCGCAGATGCGGTATTCAGACATTCTAATCTTTTTCTGTTTTATTTGAGAAACAAGGTTCAGGTATGAATATCATATACCTTTGAAATATACATAGCCCATTTTCTCGATACCGAAATTCTTAAAATTGTCTTTATCCTTCCATTTACATCATAAATAGCCAATGAAACAGTGATGATAATTCCTAGAATTATGAAGCACGCTTTAAACGTGATTAGTGACTAAATGATTGATTAATATACGATTCGACAAATATCTTTCTCTCTTTGTCTCATTAAAATCGACGAAAACGAATATGGGGATTGTTTCCACGAATCATTATTTTTTAAAAAGTAGAGCAAGGAATTTCAAGATGTCGTTGCGTTATCAATCCATTACCCCATCTCTCGGCCGCAACGAAACATAAGTACACAGCGTCGTATAGGACTGTGTTGTTATGCTACTTGCGACTCCAGGAATAGCTTGCAGGCATAGCCCCACCTTCGCGACCCACGTGCGTGTATGCGGTACGCCATATTTCCCGCATGCAACAGTGCACGTATGTGCAACACATCCGACAAAGTCGTTGACTGGAAAACGAGCACTGGGCCTAGGAAGGAACATGAGGAACAGCAGCGGCACGTTCTTTATACGCTCGTTTATTCGCACTTTTACTCGGTTCGTTTAAGTATAGCCAGTTTGTTTATCGATGCTTCTTGTTTTTAGGACCGAATATCTGTTATCCTCCTGATATCATTTTGAGACATCTTCGAGTTTTAAATTAGAATTTGTCCAATAACAATGAATATCATGGAATGTTTAATAAATAAAAAAAGAATATTTGAAATATGTTATTACACTATTACCTTGTTTCAATCTTGTTCTTAGAATAATAATATTCAATTCATTGATTATTGGATCATATAATTAGTAATATTACATATATATATATATAAAACATAGTAGTTTTTTTAAATTTAATTAAAAAGAGGATCAAAATTAAAGATTACTCAATTTACTGCTTTCACCTAAAAAAAGATTATTTGTTTATTAACATTCATGAACATTTATAACGCTTGCATTTATACTTGAAAACAATTTTTTTTTCCTAGGAAAAACCGTTAAACGCATTACCAATGCTGATTGTTCATTGCTTCAAATAAAAATGTAATATACGCAAGTCAGAGTTCCACTTTTTACATCGTAGAAAATGACATTATAAGTTCAATTTTTTTGTCAAATTTCCAATAGTCTTCAATACAATATGAATCCGTGCAAATCACGGAACAACATCTAAATTTACCTGATCGTCATTGAAATCGATTAATCATACAATATTGTACAATATTGAATTTGCAATTGTATTATAAGATACTTTAAAATTATGTACAGTCATAAATTATTTTTAATATTCTTTTTAATTTTTGAAATTAGAATATATCAATAACAAAAAAGAACAGCAAGAAAAAGAAAAAAGTATTAGAGAATTAAATTAAGGAAATGTTAAGTTAATTAATGTTACAAATGGAAAGTTTCAATATAAAAAGTATATAAAAATTAATAATATTAAGATATAAATATATCTTTTTCTATCTTATAAATGAACTTGATTCATTTCGATATAAATTAAAAACAAAGAATTTATTCGTGATCGTAATGTTATGTTTGAACTTTCGTGACTTCCGGTAGAATCCGCCTTTCCGGTGCCCCCATCTGCCAGCCCACGCACTCTAAGGTTTCTTTCAAATATTTCCGTTTCTTTCTCATTGGGCCGCTTCGAGTACCACCACATGGCAATATTTATTCTCGATCCTGGTTCAGATGGCAGTACAGTACAGTACTACGAAATGATATTTGATGTGTCAAAATAAGTTTTAAATGAATAAAATAAAAATTATATTTATATATATAAAAAATTATGGAATATCAATCTTCTTATTGCATCCTATGTCTCATACTTCATACGCCTTATTTTTCTTATTATAATTAAGTTCTTATGACGGTACTTATATATTATTCATAATATATTATTTCATTAATCTTAGAATTCATCAAAGAAATATGTATTGTATTTCTAATTGAACGTCAGTATATTTTCCTGATAATTTATGGGGACGGGGTGTGACGGAGTAATGAAGACCATTTTAATCCATCGGGAGTCGTTGGGATTTTCTTCGCAGATGAAACAATTTTTAATGTTTCAATATCCTCGTCTTGGATAACTGCCTTTTTCTGCACTTTATGCGGTGTATTTTTACCTAAACCATGATCATGCATTGATACTACATAGTCATTTAAAATTGGGTTAGAATCATAAAAATAACCTAAGTGCTTTAAAAGTTGATCTGGAAAATCTTGTGGCGCCGTTTTTTTTCTGTTAAATAATTTTCTCTTTTTTTTTGGAGATTTTTCTTCTGAAATTAATTTTGATATATCACCATCTGATACTTGAGAAGCTCTGCTTACTGAAAATTTTAATAGAAACAATTGTAGTGAATGAAATATATCTATTTTTAACAAAACGAGTAATTAATTTTTACCCAATATAATGTCAGGTTCTTTTAGAGCTGCTAAACGATTTTTTAATTCTTTCCATTTATTGCCAGAATTATTTTTAAACTTTTTAAAATATTTCATTAAATGAGGTTTCGTTTTTTTACTGAATAACTTTCTTATCCTTGATTTTAAAGTGATAGGTTTTTGTTCTGGTAAATGTTTATTCTCTTTCGTTTCTTTCGCAACAGATTGTTTGTTTTCCGTGATTTCTAATTCATTATTTTTTACGCGAGGCACCAAACTGCGTAGTTTTGCATGTAATTTCTCAATTTCATCAAGCTTCTCAAAAATTTCCTTCACATATTTTTCGGACATATTATACCTCATAAAATATGTAACATATTTGTCAATTCCAAAAATATATACATATCTATTTTAATATTTAATTAAAATACAAGAACAGATGAACTTCGCGCCAATCTGAATTTACTTCATTGTAATGTCACAAACATAACCTATAATTTCATCGTGAAATAATGTAAACATTTAATGTAACATAGAAGAAGAAATTAATTTTTTTCACTTCACAAGGCAAAATACATTATTATTGTAAGCATTTTCTTTTGAATATATAATATGCTGTTATATAAAAATATTAATAGAAATGTCAATGCATGTAAAACAATCAACGACAAATCGTTGTTACTCTCACGTCCAAGATGAAGAAATCAATTTAAATGATATTGCAAAAATTATAACTATCGTAAATGATAAAATTCTACAATTACGAGACGAAATCAGTGCTCTAAAAAATGTTAACCATGATAAAAAAAGAATTATTTAAAAAAAGTGAAAATGCTTGCAACATGTTTTTCAGTTTTGAAAATGATCTTAACACTTCTCAAAGTAATATAAAATTTGATAAATTTATTTTTTCGAAAAGATCAGATAGTCTTGCAAGTTTATTAAAAAATAATTTATTAAATAATTATAAAACAAAATATAAAAAAATTGATGATAAAACATCTAACTATGTAACAGATTTAAATAATCTTTTAACGAGTGAAAAATTACAAATAAGAAATTCAGAATTTATTTTTGAAAACATGGAAAAAGAAAGAAAGATGAAAATTTCTCAGGGAACTCAGTGTGACTTAACAATGGATCGTAAAAGGAAACGATCTTTTTTAAATTTTTTCAAGATAGAATCATATATGAAGGATAACAATGTTTTAAAACCAAATAAAAAAATAGAATTTTCATCGAAAACTAATATTTTTGTAACTTTAGATTCTGATGTAAACATAACAAAATTAACAAATACAGAAGAACAAAAGAATGATGAAAAATATCAGTTAGAAGATTTGACAAATAGTGAAAACAATATAACATGTGCAAAAGTTAATTACACGTGTAAATTAATTGAATCTGAAAAGAAAAAATCGCAAGAAAATAAAATTGAATCGAAAATGAAAAATGAATTGACTAACAATAAGTACAAAATAAATCTAACAGATAATACGGAAGATGAAAGTGAACTTTTTAAATATTCAATAAATCGAATGGGTGGTGGCGCAGAAGTTCGTGGAAATAATTTCATTTCAGATTTCCATAATAAAATACAAAAAATTAATTTATTAAAGAATTCAAAATTTGATGCAAAAAATGTAAAAAGAAGATTGGATGCATGCATAAACGAATTAAATGAAATAATCGAAGATGCTTCTTTAATTTTTTCAAATACGCAGTGCAATATCATAGAAAAATTATAAAAATAAAATATGAAAAATATTTGAATAAGTAAAAAGAAATTTTCCATTTTATAAAATTTCTAAATTGAAACATCATATATTCTCTTGTTAAAAGAAAAAAAAAGAAAAGAGAACTCTATTTTCGTCATCTTTTTTCATATATTCTTGTATATTAGTAAACCCTTTTTTGAAAAATATTTAATTATGAAATTTTCGTGATATATTTTTCGTAAAATATTAGGGAATTTTGTTGCATTTGTAGTGCAAGTGTAATCGCGCGTGGATATAACAACGACTATGATCGTTAATAAAAGTGCGTATGTTATCATACTTCAAATTAAACCAAAGTAACCTCAGTGCACTTCGAGATGCATGAGCGATTATTATTCACTGAGGCTTACGGGAGTGAGAAAGATAGATTTTTCGTCAAATCAAAAGGTATCTGTATTCTGACATATCAAACATTACTATTAGTTTACCTAACCTATTTAACTTCTATAGACGAGCAATCGATAACTGAACTGTTATCAGACACAACTAGAACGAAGTCTTTTTATTCCGGTTTAATATCGATTATAAAAGAAGTATTTTTACCTCAAGGATTTCCTGATAGCGTTCATCCCGATTATACTTCTTATCAAGTATGGGATACAGTTCAGGTTAGTTTACATAGAAAGATACAAAATTTATTTGCAATATTATGAATGAAACTATTGTTTTTAAATGAAATTTAATCCGTATTACTATTTTTTAATTTGTTATAGGCATTTGCAAGTACCATAATGGGAACTCTCACAACACATTCTATTATGCAAGGAGTAGGTGTAGGTGAAGCTGCAGCAACTCCATTAGCAGCAGCAATAACATGGATATTAAAAGATGGAACTGGGATGGTTGGTCGAATTATGTTTGCATGGTGGAACGGGTAAATAAAATCATATGATGAAATGATTATAATACTTGTAATTAATTTTTATAAAAGTAACAGTTGTTTTTCATTCATTAGGAC